GATTTAGCCTTTAATACGTGGTAGGAAATCATAATGAAGAAAACAGAAATGAAACTTTCTATGTTTTTTACCACTTTTATTTGTAACTAACATTACAGCAGTTTCGTCCTATACGGACATTTTCAAACTTTTACAATTTTAAACTATAGTTTATTGCAGTTTACTACAGTAACGTTAGTTACAAATAAAAGTGGTATAAAACCTAGAAAGTTTCCTTTCTCTTTTCTTCGAAAAAAATCTAATTTCGAATTTTACGTTGAAATTCGGTATCTAGAGTCAAAATAGATTTTCAAGCAATTTCAAGCAATATCGAGAATTCGCCCTTTTTGGCGGGAACGCAGTAAGCTGGGTTTAAGGCTGTCACTCGGGGTAGGTATTGCGAAAAGTGCGGCTCATGAAGGTCTATGTCTATACCAAAAATCAAATATCTGCTTTCAAAAATAACTGAGATACAAGGGTGTCTTCATCTTGAGGGTGTCACATTGTGTATATCTACTGCATGAACACATTGTATATGAATCCATGTCCATTCCTTCTCATTTTTGTTTTCACAAATTAATTCAAAATAATGAAGATGAAAGGTTGAGATCAGTACGTTTGGATTTTGAATGAAAACATTAATTTAATATTTCTGACACATGTTTCAGTATGAGTGATTACTGGAACGAGAGATATTCATGTATTTGAAAATATAAACAGTTGATGTAAAAACCGAAGTGGGAATTCCATTGTTCCACTTATAAATAATTTACATTTGAAATGAATCTCTTAATAGCCATCTGTTTGAAATTCTTGATTTATACATTATACTATAATTGGTTTATAAAACTTTTCCTTCTATTTACACTCCAACATCTTCAGCGACTGCTAGCTGCGTCTTTTGCTATAATTCCTATACCTATCCGAATTATCATTTTCATCGGTTTTATGTTGTTCGATTCCTCTTTCAGTTGCTACTTTCCATTCCGTTTCAATCGACGGAATTTTTAAAATGGAATAGTGCTTGTCAAAATAATTACGTCAGTCAATGTTTTTCCTAACATTTCTTTGGTATGTCATTCTGATTATTCTAGATTAAACCATCAGAAATATTACTATCGATAAGGTTTTGGATTGATTCATTTGTTGGTTGCCAAATTGGATACCAGGATGTATTCGCACAATCATATCAATGGAATAGCAAAGGTAGCTTGTCAGAGTCTTGAAACACGATTTCGAATCAGAAAGTTGCAACTTTCCTTGGAATATTTCTGACATAATATTCAACTCCGCTTCTAAAGCGACCCCTGAGGTTTTTAGATTTCATAAACAACATTCGCATGACCCAACCATGCGAACCCAAACATCGTGAGAAACTCAAGACATCTTGGAAAACCAAAGCAGAGAATAGTAAGTGACCTTCTTAAGGCCGGGACACACATGGCATACACTCTTCAAATGCGACTCCTATCATACAGTCGGACGACTGTCTGATAGGGAAATGGTACTTTAGTCCGGATAGAGTAGTTCACATCGTTCCGATACGTGGCCAACCCCGCTCCCACCCGACTCCGTTCCTGTATTCGATCATGATCCGATCGTGCAATCTATTTGTTCTCCAGCTGCGGGACGCGTATCGCTTGGAGTTTGTATGATATTTGAGTTTAATTTCCAACAGGTTGAATGTCGACATGGACAGTCTAAAATATTGATAAAATTTTGTTTCGTCGTCCAACAGATGTGGTACGATCGTGAAATACTCTCCTTCTGCAGATCTTCTATTCCAAGCAGCATGTTCCTAAAATCTTCGTTTTCCGCTGTTCTCTATGAGAGCTTTTCGATTTTCTTCATCTTCTTCCAAACACAGTGCCATAATGGCTAAATCGTAGTTGCTACAGTTCTTGAACATTTTGCTTAGAGGACCTTCCGAGATATTGTTGAATCGACACTGGCAAGAGAGGCAAGTGTATCAAGCCGAAGCGGTGAATCGGAAAGGAGTCGTTAACATGTATGACAAGTATGATTGCCCACTGGCGATTCTGTTCAGATCCGCTTTTGGGACAAAATCAAACTGGAGTCGGATCGGAGAGGTGTATGAAGAAGTGTGTCTCGGTCTTTACACGTCATCAAACTATGGAAAAAATCAATCAGAAACAAGGATAGTATCGGGCTGGCAGTAATCAAATAGAATTTTGAAGAACTTGTGATTCAGCACCAGACAGCGATGTTTCGACCCATCAAGTATCATCTGTGGTGCTGGGCTGAACCACTGAACTGTCGTAAAAATCAAGCTTGAAAGTAAAGGTAGTTGATAAAATGGTTTAGACTTTCACGGCTGAGGTTTTCAGTGTCATTGCTTTTCGAGTTTGAAACTCACGCGCATATCTACTGTTTATCCCTAGGGTCACGGACAGAATTGGAAAACTATTGGGCAAACACGACATCAGAACAGTCTTCAAACCCACGAGGAAGATACAACAAAGCCTCAGGTCGGCTAAAGACAAAAGAGACCCATTATCAGCAGCAGGGGTCTATCGCATACCGTGCACGTGTGGCACGGCAACAGAGATCCACAAACACACGGAGAATTTCAATAGAAAAGAAGAAGCGGTGAACCTCAATCGAATATGGGAATTTTAAGGAATTGGAGAATAACGAACAGGACAACAGGCAGCGAGATTGTTAATGTTCCAGGTTCAAGTGCAGGTACAAGACCAGGTACGAGTACAGGTACAAATACAGGTACAGATACAACGGATAACCTGACAAGGCATAAATACGCTTTATGAAGCCTAAAAGGTAGTCATCGGACAGCAAGCCATGATGGTTAAACCTCTGAAGAAGCTAGCCACTCGCGCCAGCGAAACGTCAGGAAGAAATTCCAAAAATCCACGGCTTTCAAACTCGAAAAGCAACGACACTGTAAAGGTAATTGATAAGTAGAATTCAGTGCTATGAAAACCCATGCATAATTCCACTAGCTGTGCCGATTAAATTATTGGGTATGAAAGCTCTGAAGTAATAAAGGCAGCTTCTAAGAAACTTGGTACACTATTTTCAACTAGAAAGCTGATGCGACAAATAAGACCTTCTTCAAAGTAATGCGTGCATACATGTTGGAGACTGAAAATCACAATCATATTTTGATCTGAATAAATTATAAACAACTCTCATGAACAGTTTTATAGATCTTTAGGTCATCTTCACACAGTAAGTCGCCACTTGAAATTTATGGTTCCTATGTAATGATTCTTCAAATTTAGAACAACCAGTCTTGAGTTGTATCCTTGCGGTTTTCCAGATATTAAGATATGGAATAAATATAAGTACGTTATGAATTTACGAATTTTCTGTACGAAAAGTAAACGAATAAATACGTTGCAAAATAGTCATGATAAATACATATATAATTGTTATTATTATATATTCTTCATCTAAGAATGTATTTTATAGTACTCAGTTGATAATTTTTTAAACTTTCTTGCTAAGCATATAAAAAAAATAAACGTTTGTTTATAATCTTACAATCGAAACAAAAATCCATTTTTCTGTAAAAAATTTTCAGCATCATTTCATCGCGACTAGTTGACTTGTTCCAGCTGTTTCCTTAAAATAAATGAAACAGGTGTTTTGTACAATACGAGTTATGCATCCAAACTTCTTTTCAAATTTCTGTTGACGTTAGCTTCTCTTGAATATAAATATAGCGGCAGGTGTCAGAAAAAGTGTCTTGATTTAATATTTGAGATAAATTTGTCCAAACTTTATTTCATGCGAGCCCCGCATCTTGATGACTATTAAAACTGAAATTTTATTCGAAACAGAGGTGGACGTATAATAAACTCAATTTTGAAATGTATTCCAGAAATATATCAGAAATGCAATTGCCTGAAAATTGAACGTATAATACAGCGTGCCCCAAAAATATCGAAAATAATTCTAAGAAAAGATAGATCTTTTCTTAGAATTCCGGGGAAAATCGTCACTGGTTTATGGATTTCATTTTCCTTCAAAGTTTCATTTTTCTACTCATATCTTAATGGTACTGGGACCCTTCGAAAATTATCATTAATAGAGAATTTACTCATTTAATTATTTTGTTTATGTGACTAATACAATCATATTACTAAATTGAAAAAATTCACAATATTGAGTTTTATTCGACTAAAAACTAATTAGTGGAAAGAAAAGAAGTTTTTAAAGAAGAATGGTGTAAGAAACTGGGAAACTTGAGAAATGTAGGGAAATTTTCCTTATTTTTCCATTGGGAAATAAATAGCCTCCGAGTTACAGAAAATATTATTCAACAGGAACCAATCCAAGGTAATATTTTCGTCAATATCAATAGGCTTCGTAATTTTACTTGAACATCAACTCCAAAATGAAAACCTTTAAATCCTAGTTATGTGCAGTTGATAGTTCTCTAGGGTACCACCCACATTTTCTACAGTCGTATTAGTTGCTATCCTTCATAAACTCGAATTCCAAACAGTTATCCAACAACATCTTCTCTTTCAATGGCTCTAGAAATTCTGGCAGTGATATAATCGACGCCAACTTGATTTTCATCGAAAACTGTTACTACTTTTAATAATCGGTTGACAATCATCTGTTTGAAGTGTTTAAATTTGTTTGTTCATATTTGTTCTTGAAAATTAAAACTTAATATTTATGATTTGTAATTATACTTCCTCCGCACAAACAAACAAAATAATAATGATTCATTGTCATCTTAAACAGTTTGATTATATTAAACTTCACTGCATATATTATAATGAAAGGAATTGAACTGTTTTTTTAAGATTTTGATAATATACTTATTATACATTGACAACATATACTGTTTAAGATTCCTATTTATAGACAAACGCCCTATAGTATGTAGTGGAATTAATTTTCTGTTAACAATGGTTCGGTTGTTTTAGATATGAGAAAAATGTTTTGTTTTGAAATTCCATCTGGCGTGAGTAATGCATTAGAATCAAACTTTTTGTTTTAAAATAATCTTTTTGTATTTCCAGTTTTATCGAGGAAGACAATAAAAACGAAGAAAGACTAATCGTGGACCATCAAAATTCAAAAGAATCGGTAAGTTGATGAATCAATCATTAATATTAATATGCCAATTTATGCATTCCTCAGAATGCTAAGAGTTTTTGGAAAGGTGATCAATTTCGTGCTCTTCTTGATCCAGATTTTGAATCTTGGTCCAGATAAGCTGTGTATCAGGAATGAGATATTGGATCTCTCCTTTAAAGTTTCATTTTCTGCGGTATTTTTTTTATTTGCAGAGATATTGAAATCGATTATTGAACTTTGTCATTGAAAGTTCCATCGTATTATCAGAATATGATCATAGAAGCTTTATATTTCCAATTTTTTTTATCGGTGTATGCAATCTTGCATTAAGGGCTCAACGGAATAAGCTGATCAATACTTTCACAGACAACCAGGCATTGGGGCATTGACGAACCCAAGAACGACATCGAGACTGGTCTGGAAATGCCGTGAGGAACTAAGAATACTGGCGAGCAGGAACACATTCACTATATATTAAGTGCCAGGACACTCAGGCATGGCATATAACGAAAGAACTGATGAGGATGCCAGACACGGATCATCAATTCGATATATAGGCTCTAAACCAGCTCTCATGAAGAGAGAAAACAACAGACAACACACACGGACAAACTTTTATAGGGATCGTCCGAGAAGAGAACTGAAGAACTGCTTTAACAAAGCAGGAATCGGCTCAAATCAATTACAGGTCTACTCACTGGACACTGTCTATTCAGAGGACACTTTAAAAACGGGGATCTTAACTGCAGGCAATGCAACAAAGGGGCAGAGACAACTCGTTATATTTTATACGAATGTGAGACAGTGGATCACAGGGGGCAAACAATTTGTAATGAACCAAATTATGTTCAGTAGAATATCACATACTTCCACATGTATAGGGCAGAAGATTAGTAGAATGGGTTTCATGAAAAGGACTGGAGAAAAACGCAACAGTCCCATCAGGCTGCAGTGTTTTCCGGAGACTTGGGAGAAATGGACAAGGCAAATGGCCTTCAAATAGAAGAAAAAAAAGCATGACTTCTCCTCTTAAGTAGATGTCATTTATGAAACTGACAGAAAATTCAAACATTTATCATCCTGAATAAATAACTGGATCCTACTGGAGCCTGTTGAAAAGTCAAGTTTCGACATCGATCTCCGAATGAAAATCGCTTCTAGTTTTTTCTATAAGGTAACTAGCTCAAAAACGGAATAAACTCTTTTGAAGTGAAAATTTTACAATAAAGTGTTAACTTGAATACGCTATGGATTTTCATCAAGAACCGGCCAATTCCATCGCATAATATATTCAATATAACTAATATTTGAACGTTTGTGACTACGATTTTTTATTGAACTTGTGTTTTCTCTCAGATTCAAGTTTGTATTATAAAATTTGGGCCCCCCTACTAAATGCTTCTATCGACTATCTGGAATAATTTCTCTTGATTTGTCGTACATTTAGACTGTGAATTATACGAGTGTAATTAATATATGTAGTTTTTATGTGGATATGATTTTCAATGAATGGTATTTTTGAACATGAAATAAAATATTAAATATTCTTAGATATACCTATGTAGCAATAGGATGATTATCAGTTGGTTTCTTAGAGTTTAATATTTCTCTTGAAGATGATCACTTGGTGATCGAAACACGTGTCGAGGTGTTGAAATAATGTTTTGGTGTTGTGATGAAATTAAAGTAATATTCATCAATTTTTTATCAATTCACTTCATTGCCTCGTAGTAAACATATATTTCAATCTGTTCACGATTTATCAACTCGTTAGATTTATATGTTTCATCGTTAGCAATATTAATTGAAACAGGTTATGATTACTGAAATTCACTAATTGAATAGAACTGGCTGATACTTGATGAAAATCCACATTAAAACTCATTAATACAGTTTATTGTATGATTTTCACTATAAAGGGTTTTACAAAACTCGCGACACGTGTTTCGCTATACAATAACTTTCTCAAGCGTTAATAATGAGATACTTCTAAATAACAACTATTTTATTTCATAACATAGTACCTACTTGTTTGCCTACTATCTGACCTGAAAAGGTCAGATAGACGAATTTCAATAAAAAACTAAACATGATAAAACAAATAGTCGTCAACAATGATAATGATATCAGTCTAATACACCCTCTATTATCTCTAAGTTTACCCAATTCGAAGGGATGAGGTTGAAAGTTATAGAAACTTAACCTACCTAGACCAACCCACTACGAATATTTCAATTTTCTGCACAACAAAGGTGTAAATTTTGATTTCAAAACCAACAAAATTTCAGGCTTGCCCATTGAGAATGAAAAAGATTAAAGTTCAGTTTCAGAAAAATCGGGAGTGTATAAATTATCATGTGGGTCATGTGTGTTGTTTCATATAGGTCACACTGAAAGAACGTTGAAAGCCCGCATAAAGGCCCCCACAGAAGTAGTTCCCAGAATGGAAAAATGAACTCCACATAGGTATACCACTCATTTAATCTCAGAGAGACATGAGTTCAATCATGAATTCAACCCCCTCCATTCCCAGAAGAAAGGCTTAAAACGTAACCTGTTGGAGAGTATGGAAATAAACAAATTCAAAAACTCCCATTATCTTATGAATGATCAAACTGAACTGAATAATTCGCCATTATGGAATCTGTTTTTTCCAGGTAAGAAAAGTTGAGTATGATTACAGTATTTTCGGAAATTTAATTTATTTATATAGTTAATGAATTCATACCTGACCTTCAATGTAGATTTATTGATTAGAAATTAGGTTAGAGTATGAAATAGTTGTAATTTAGAAGTTACTTATTATTAATGCTTGAGAAAGCTATTGTATAGCGAAACACGTGTCGCGGTTTTTGTAAATCTTTTTATAGTGAAAATCATACAATAGACTGCATTAATGAGTTTTTTACGGAAATTCATGTTTATTTGTATAAAGTATAATAAGAAATTGGTGGGTAAACTCCTTTTTTATTAAAATGTTTTGTATTCCCGAAATTACTCTCACGTCAAATGATGAATGTAGTGAATACACAGCTGTTCAGAAATTAAATTTGCCAATTTATCTTGGTACCACTCAAAATGTGCGTGGGAACATGCTTATTTCTGAAATTTGAATTGTGAGTTGAATGTTAGCCAACAAGTGTCACATTTGAAAAAATATTGTCCACTTCCATAACACTCCTATAGGGATTCCTCTCCCTGGTTCCCTCCCTTTTTCTCTATGTGACTTATCAAAACCCACAAGTAACTTAACCATCGTAAATATATTAGATACATTCCTATTTTCTAAAACAAAAATATCTCATCTCTGCCATCATCGAAAGTGGTACTTTACTGGTTTATAAATTACACCGGATATTCTCTAAAATTAGATGAAACACCCACCAGGTGTAGGCTCAGTTCTTGTTTTCGCATTGGAAATATCTTGTTGAACATCATCATTCAGACAGAAAAAATAATTCTCTTCCCGTGAATCATTTTCGTCATTTGAAACGATTCTCTATAGATAGTAACAAAGAAATATGTTTTTTTAATTTTACAAATCTGACGTGAATTAGTGATGTGGAATTTATTTTCATAATTTTCTGTGACCTCGAGAAGGTTTACTCCGAATATCGTACATGAAGGTACACTGCTTCTCACTCATTCCTTATTCATGATTTGAGTTCCAACAAAATTTCACAAGGAGGCAATGCCCCCGGAATAATTGATTGCAAAAACATATGACAATTTACAGCTGCAACTGCAACTTTTTAATCAATAAAAATAATATCTGGCCTTTAATTGATCATGAAATAATATCAGAGTTTGCTGTTGAAACATTATACCAATAACTTTTCACCATCTGGATGCCGGAGTGGAACAACGCCACTCACAAGAGATAAATTCAGTGAACTCCAACACATCTGGAAATCGAAACTCTCGGGATAGAATAGAATTGCTTCTGCAATTTTACTCTTTCAAAGTAGTAAAGTAGACTTGAAAAGAGCTGTATTAACTCCATGGGAAGCCGTGGAATTTTGAGGGTATATATAACGAAATGGTACTGGATGGAATCTGTATAGTAATCAGCAGTTCGGATTCCTTTCTCTGCATGGTCCACGACTGTAAAAAAGCGTGAGTTGAAGCATTTCGTTTTGAGGCAGCTGCCTAATTTTCAATGTTGTCACCGAATTAGAACCCGTTCAGCTGAAGACACAAACCAAAGTCGAAGAGATTACTTTACTCCTACAGCTATTCAAGAATATACCGATTCATGAAGTTGTTTTCAACATAATTGAAGGTTTCGACTAATCAATGCATCTGACTTTTGTATTTCTCAAGTATTCCTCACCTTTAAGATGATACAAGTTAATAAGCCTTCCTTTGAATTCAGTTGAATCTGATTCAATGTCTATTTCTGTTTCTCCCAATTATCCATGACGGTATAACGAACGTGACAAACCCATTTATCAAATCACCAATCTCATCTCCGAATTTAAGTGAAGTAGGTGTATCAATTTGTTTAATTAATTAATGGGAAATAGTTCTAGTTCTCGAAATATATTTCATTTCACATAATATGCATACATTGCATACTTTGCTATATTTTTCCCTCATTAAATTCATGCCAAAACATATTAAAATGAATTTCACCAGTTCGGACTTCCATTGTCTAATCTATAAAATTATTTGAAATCCGTAAAACAACTAATTTGGGATTCAATCAAATAAATACCATCCATGAACATAATACAAGACAAGCAAAAAAACTACTAGTTAAATCATATCACTCGAAGTTTGGGAAGAAATCAATATTTCATTTAGGAGTTAAAATATATAATAATCTTCCAAAATTCAAATCGAAATTGAAAAAGTTTCTGCTTTCTTCCTCTTATTAAAATTCTGATCTCCATATTACATTTTTTTGTTTTTAATTACCATTATAATTTAAAAATTAATATATGTATGTGTGTATACATATATGTATATATGTGTTTGTATTTATGTGCTGTATATTTAACTGATAT